TATGTGTAAGGGGTATTTTTCTGTAAATTCATTTTCTTGCAATATCTTTGTCTGGTTTTGATATTAATGTATCAATTTATAAAACGTTTTGGGAAGTGTTTGCTTTTCCTTTATTTGTTGAAAGCGTCTGTATAAGCATCCTTAGGTGTTACAGAATTTACTAGTGAAGCCTCTGAGCTTGGAGTTTTCTTTGTGGATATGGTTTTAAATGATAAGGATACTGAACTTATCTTTAAGTAATATAGGGCTATTCAGATTTTCTATTTCTTTTCTGCCAGTTTTAGAAATGTATGCCTTTAAAGGAATTTGTCTATTTCATCTTGATGAGTAGACATCAAGGACTTTGTCCACTCACCTAAGTTATCTAATTTATTGGCATAAACTTGTTAATAATATTCTTGATGTTTTTAAGATTTATAGAGATAGTCCTTTTATTTCCATTACTTGATCTTATTTCCTTCTTTTTCTTGTTAGTTTTATGGAGTTTCAATTCTATTGATTTCTTCACTTTTGGTTTCATTGATTTTTCTCTATTGTTTACTAGTTTTCTATAACAATAGTTTCTGCTCTGATTCTTGTTATTTTCTTTTACTTGTTTGGGTTTACTTATGTGGGTTTAACTTGCTCTTTTTTTCTGGTTTCGTGAGGTGGAAGCTCTTTGAATTGAATCCTTCAGAGTTATAAATTTCTCTCTAACCTTGCTCTACCTGTATCCCACAAATTTCCATTATTTAATTTAAAATATGCTTTAATTTCCTCTGTGATCCATGGTGTTTTTTTTTTAATTGTATAGTTTAATTTCCAAACATTTTGGGATTTTTCCAGATATTTTTGTCTTAGTGATTTCAATTTAATTCATGTGATCAATTTAATTCATGATGTCAGCCTTTTAAAGTGTATTGAGACTTGTTTTATAGACCAGAAAATGGTTTATCTTGGTGAATGTTCCATATGTACTTGAGAAGAATGTGTATTCTGTTGTTTGTAGTGCTCTATAAAAGTCAGTTTAGTTTGTGAATAATGTTATCTAAATTTATGTCCTTATTGATTACATGCATGTGGGTGTAATCTGTCGATTAGTTGAGAGTTGAGTGTTAAATTTTTTAAATAAAAGTTTTAGATTTGTCTGCCTCCCTTTAGTTGTTGCTTCATGTATTTTCTACATACCTTTCCCATACACCTTTAGTGTTGTAATATAGCTATTTAGTGTTATGTTTGTTTACTCCTTTATCATTACCAAGTGCCCCTCTTTATCACTGATAGTATCAAGGTAATATTCCTTGTCTTTGAATCTAATTTGCTCGACCTTAATGTAGCTGCTCCACATTTCTTAGAATAAGTGCTTGGATGATATGTCCTTTTAGATTCTTTCATATATACACACACACACACACACACACACACACACACACACACACACACGAGTCCCGGTGCATAGATTGTGCACTGGTGGGGTCCCTCGGCTCTGTGCTCTCTCGCAATCTAGTACCCCTCGTGGATGTCAGAGAGCTGGTTTCAGCCCGATTCCCGCAGGCCAGGCCGAGGGACCCCACTGCTGCATGAGTCTGTGCACTGGGCCTCTAGTATTAATATAAGATCTTCGGTTTATCTCTTCTTGCCCTCCTTCCCCTTCCCTATGAGATTCATCAGTCTGTTCCATGTTTCCATGCCTGTGGTTTCTGCTCCTGCATTGAGCGTCTGCCTCCGGTGGTCATTGTGCATCATAGCTACCGGTCGGCCCATCGGCTGGTCACTTACGCTTTTATATATATAGATATTTTATTGATTTCAGAGAGGAAGTGAGAGGGAAAGAGAGATAGAAACATCAATGATGAGAGAGAATCATTTATTGGCTGCCTCCTGCACTCCACCTACTGGGGTTCAAGCCCACAACCCCAGGCATGTGCCCTTGACCGGAATCGAATCTGGGACCCCTCATTCCACAGGCTGAAACTTTATCCACTGAGCCAAACCAGCTAGGGCTAGATCCTTTCACTTTTAACCTCCTGTGTTATTATATATAAAGTGTGTCCTATAAATGGCACATAGAAGGATTTTTATCTAGTCTGAAAACCTGCTTTTAATTGGGACCATTTACATTGATCATACTTATCAGTATGGTTCATTTGTCTTTGTTTTCTCTATGTCCCATCTGGTTTTGGTTCTTTTATGCATCCATGCAGTTCTTCCATCCTTTGTGTTTTTATTGTCATACATTTTGCTTCTACAAATATTATTGTATATTGTAATTATTTGTGCTTCAAAAATCAATTATTCTTTAAAGAAATTAAGAAGTGAGAATATTTTGTATTTACCATTCCGCCATTCTTTGTTCCTTCATGAAGATACAGATTTTTATCTGGTGTCATTTCCCTTTAGTCTGAAAAACTAGCATTTCTTGTAGTGCAGGTCTCTTGATGGTAATTTCTTTCAGCTTTTGTTTCCATATTTTATCTGGTAATACCTTTTTCTCTTTGCTTTTCAAGAATATTTTTTATGAATACAGTCAATCTTGCTCTATACAGAAGTTATGGTGTTTTATTTGTTTTAAATCTTTAATGTTAAAAGTATTACATATGCCTCCTTTCTCCCCCATTGACTTCTCCCAGCCCGTCCCCACCCCCGACCCCAGGTCTTCACCACCCTATTGTCTATGTTCCTGGGTTATGCATTATGCTGAGCAAAATAAGCCAGTCAGAGAAGGAAGTTATGTTTTATAGAGTCACAGAAAACACTGAATTAGCAAATACTGAATCATTGCCCCTAGGGGAAATACAGGGTTAGGTTCCTGGAAACCTCTAGTCATAGCATTTTTGTTAACCAATCTATATATAACTTTGTTTTATGTGTATTCCTATTTATAAAGACACATTATTTACTATATGTTGTTGACTCATTAATATTGAACACATGACCAACAGCATGATAATTCATACCTAAATGAAGTTTATCTAATACATATATTTTCTCTGTAAGGTGGTACATCACAATCTTCTATGGTTAAGAACACTAGACAGCACTTCAGCACTGTGCTTAGGAGCCTATTTAAGCAGCAAAGTAACTAACAAAAGCCACAAAAAATGTGAAAAAATGTGCCACTAAATAGCCTGGAAAAAGAATATGTGTTTACAGTCAGAGAGTGAAACAAGGAGACATAGGGCTTCCTTGTTTAACCTCACCTGAGAACTTGTGTTGGGTGACGGGCATATTTTGCTGTTCTGTGCATGTCTGCTATTGGGATTACCAATTTAGCCAGTAAACAAATTTGCAAATAGGGAATCAATGAATAATAATGATTGAGTGTATATAATTTTAGATTGCCCTTTTTTAAAAATTATTTTAAGGATGTCCATTATCTTTTGGATTATGTTTTTTTCCAGTGAGAGGTCAAGTCATTCTTATTGCTGTTCCCTTGCCCTTTTCCTGTTTTAAAGATTTTTCTCCGTCTTTGGTTTACAACAATTTGACCTTTACAGTGTGTTTCTTTGTGGGTTGTATTTATTCTGCTTCTTGGATTTGTAAATTGGTATTTTCCATCACAGTTGACAAATTTTAGTTTGTTATATCTTTCTTTATTCCTTTTTCCCCCTGCATCTGTCACTGTTGTAATTGAAGGGGGTTCCAATTACATATACTTTAAATGCTTGATTATCTAACAGGCCACTGAGCTCTGTTCACTCTCCCCCTCCCCCACCCCAGCCTTCCCCCCCCCCCCCCCCCCCCCCCCCGCTGTAGTTCATTTTGCATAGTTTCTTTCTGTTGCTTTTTTAAAGCGTATTCATCCTTTCTTTGCACTGTCCAGGAAATCCAAGATGAAGGTGCCAGCTAGGTAGGCTCCATTCTGAGGCTCCTTCTCTTGGCTTATAGGCGGCTGCCACTTGCTCACATAGCGGAATGGAGAGACAGGGAAGGGTGAGCAGCAAGCTCTCTGGTATCTTTTCTTATAAGGACACTAATCCTATCCTACCATGTAACCCTAATTACCTTCCAAAGGCCCTGATTCCAAATACCATCACGTTGGAGGGTAGGGCTTCAACATAAAAATTGGTGTGTGTGTGTGTGGTGTGTGTGTGTGTGTGTGTCAGGGGCGGGGGTGTGGAAATCACAAATATTCAGTCCGAAATATATTGCGGTTAAGAAAATGGGCTCTGGGGTTGAATTGCCTGACTCTCACTAGTTGTGTTGTGTTTTGAGTGAGTTCCTTAAGTTTTGTCCCTTGGTGGTGATTGTTGTTGGTTTTTAATCTGTTAAATGGGGATAGTAACAACAACCCTTGTAGCAATAGGGTTCTAAGGAGTAAAATGAGTTTTTGCATGTAAAGTACTTAGAATAACAAGTAGCCCTCAATGTTAATTTTAAATAAAACAAGACTGGTGATAATAATGATCTTCCTAATTATAATTAGTATTTTCTTTGTAATTTGGACAATGATGATAGAACTGATAGAACTGATGTCTTCAAAGAATAGTGTACAGTGACTCTTAGAATATTTTTATTTAAAGGTAGACAACCTGGCATAAGAAAATGCATTCTCCGAAAGTTCTTCTGAACTGAACATATGCCAATAAAAATGACTAAGCAAGTGTCGTATTAGTTTTATTCAAATGCATCTTTAAAATTTTGGCTTAATTAGTACAAGATAATTTAATTATCTGAAAATGTGAACAAAAGCTTTGGATGTGGTATATTAAGTAAGAAAAATAGTATCTTGAAGCCACTTTGGTTCATGATGTTTAACATAAACATGTTTTTGCCTGTTGAAAAATGATAGGTTCTATGGACACCATTTAATCAACTTTATAATATATGTGGTAATTTAATCTGAATTAATGATTCTACTAATGGTACTACTTTTTCCTTTCCATCTTGGCTTTGTTCTCTGTAGGTGAAGTTTTGCATTAACTCATTACAAACTGAACCCTTACTTGCTCCTCTTATCTTTAGGCTCTTTCCAACTCTGTCTTTATTTCTGCTGAGGTTATATTCTATTTGTTTTTCAGATGAGACACTTTTTGCTCTTCCTGCTGCATCTGAGCCTGTGATACACTCCTCTGCAGGCAAGTTCTTTCTGCTAGCCTTTTATCCTCTGTGTATTCTAACTTTAACTCTGTAGTTTTGTTAACTCTGTACAGAGTAGTTTGAATTTACTAAAAATTAGCATGGTTCAGATAATATCTACTGAAAAAGTTGAAATTGCATTTTATATGCTATGTCCAACGGGGAAATGGGCAGAACTTTTGATTAATAATTGGAAGTATATAAGGAATTCTTGGACCCTTGATTTACATTTACATATTGACTGCTCCATTTCTCCAAATAAAATTTACTTGCTGTATAGCTGAAAGACTTTCATGTGAACGAATGTCATTCTGTGGCATTTAATTGTCCAGTGTCTTTTCTTTTCTAAACTGTCAAACTCTCTTCTCAAATCCTCTTTTTCCCCACTAAAACCAGTTAAAATTGGCTTTTTTAGTGATTATACTTGAGGTTTTTCTTAAAGACTGATTTATGTCTTTGCATGACATATAATTACCTCTGTAGCCATACACAGGTTTTATTGATAATAGCTTTAATTTTTTTAGTAATGGTTCCAGTGTACTTGTTATTTATTAATTAAATGCTACATTTCATTTTAGTTAATAGTAAGTCTTTACTAACACTATTTTGAATCTGTAATAAAGCATACATTAACTCTGAGAACACTGGCATTCTCTAACTTTCCTTTCTGTCCATGGTCACAGAAAAAATTATGGACTTGAAGGAGCAGCCAGGTAACACTGTTTCCGCTGGTCAAGAGGATTTCCCATCTGTCCTGCTTGAAACTGCTGCTTCTCTTCCTTCTCTGTCTTCCCTCTCAGCTACTTCTTTTAAAGAACATGAATACCTTGGTAATTTACCAGCAGTATTGCCTACCAAAGGAACAATTCAAGAAACGTCAAAGGAAGCTTCCAAAGAGTTTCCAGAAAAGGCAAAAAATCCATTTGTAGACAAAGATTTAACAGAGTTTTCAGAATTGGAATATTCAGAAATGGGATCATCATTCAGTGGCTCTCCAAAAGCAGAATCTGCCACAACAGTAGCAGAACCTAGGAAGGACATAAGTGTGAGGAGTAAAGATGACGAGGGTGACCTAGTTAGTAATGTCCTCCGTAACCAACAAGAGTCACCTATAGCCCTTACCAACTTGACTAAAGAAGAGAACCAAGTTATGTTTCCAGAAAAAACAAGGGACAGTTTTAATGAAAAGACAGTTACAACAGGAGCTCCTATGAGGGAAGAATATGCAGACTTCAAACCATTTGAGCAAGTATGGGAAGTAAGAGGTATTAATAATAAGCAAGATAGTGATGTCTTGGCTACCACAGGTATTATAGAGAGCAAGTTGGATAGTAAAGTGGATAAGAAATATTTTGTGGATAGCATTGGTCAGACAAACCCTGAGAAAGATAGTGAAAGCAGTAATGATGATACTTCCTTTCCCAGTACACCAGAAGCTATAAAAGATGGTTCAGGAACATACATCACATGCACTCCCTTTAACCCAACAGCTACTGAAAGCATTTCAACAAACATTTTTCCTATGTTGGAAGACCATACTTCAGAAAATAAGACAGATGAAAAAAAAATAGAAGAGAAAAAGGCTCAAATTATAACAGAGAAGAATACTGGCACCAAATCATCACATCCTTTCCTTGTAGCAGCACAGGATTCTGAGACAGATTATGTCACGACAGATAGTTTATCAAAGGTGACAGGGGAAGTAATGACAAACATGCCTGAAGGTCTAACCCCAGATTTAGTACAGGAAGCATGTGAAAGTGAACTGAATGAAGCTACAGGTACGAAGATTGCGTTTGAAACAAAAATGGACTTGGTTCAAACATCAGAAGCTATGCAGGAGTCACTCTACTCTGTTGCACAGCTTTGCCCATCATTTGAAGAATCCGAAGCTACTCCTTCACCAGTTTTGCCTGACATTGTTATGGAAGCGCCATTAAGTTCTGTAGCTCCTAGTGCTGGTGCTTCTGGAGTGCAGCCCAGTTCATCCCCATTAGATGCTCCTCCTTCAGTTAATTATGAAAGCATAAAACTTGAGCCTGAAAATCCACCACCTTATGAAGAAGCCATGAATGTGTCACTTAAAAAAGTATCAGGAACAAAGGAAGAAGTTAAAGAGCCTGCAAGCATGACTGTAGCTGTTCAAGAAACAGAAGGTCCTTATATATCCATTGCATGTGATTTAATTAAAGAGACAAAGGTCTCTGCTGAACCAACGCCAGATTTCTCTAATTATTCAGAAATAGCCAAAGCTGCACAGCCAGAGCTTGAGCATTCGGACCTAGTTGAAGATTCCTCACCTGATTCTGAACCAGTTGACTTATTTAGTGATGATTCAATACCCGAAGTTCCACAAAAACAAGATGAAGCTGTGATACTTACGAAAGAAAATCTCATGGAAACTTCATCTGAGTTCATGATAGAACATGAAAATAAGGAAAAAGTCAGAGTTTCACCACCACCTAAGGGGGGGAAGCCATATTTGGAATCATTCCAGCCCAATTTAGACACCACAAAAGGTACCGTATCACCTGGTGAAGTTCCAACATGGACCCAAAAAGAGAAAACGCCTTTGCAGATGGAGGAGCTCAGTACTGCCCCTTATTCAAACGATGGCTTATTTATTGCTAAGGAAGCAAAAATAAGAGAGAGTGAAACGTTTTCAGATTCTTCTCCCATTGAGATTATAGATGAGTTCCCTACATTTGTCAGTTCCAGAACTGATTCTTCTAAATCAGCCAGGGAATACACTGACCTAGAAGTACCCCGCAAAAGTGAAATTGCTAATGTTGAGGATGGAGCTGTGTCGTTGCCTCGCTCAGAATTACCCCATGACATTTTTTTCAAGAAGGTACAACGTAAGGCTGAAGATAAAGTCCGTGTCCCAGATGAAGTCTCCGAAGATAGGTCTGATATTTCAAAGGTGCCCTTACTGCCTCCAGATGTTTCTGCTTTGGCCACTCAAACAGAGATAGGGAATATAGTTAAACCCAAAGTTCTTGTGAAAGAAGCCGAGAAAAAACTTCCTGCTGGTACAGAAAAAGAGAACAGATCACCATCTGCTATAATTTCAGCAGAGCTGAGTAAAACTTCAGGTAATCCATACATTGTTTTGTGCTTTCTTGCCACCTTTTGACTTACCATGGAACATTTCACTACATTTTGTGTAATATATTACATTTGTAGTGTCCAGTACATCACATCACATTGATAGAATCCTCTTCTACTGTCCCAGTTAAAGGTTTTAGTGCTTTTTCTACCCCTCTTGCACTCATCACTTACCCTTGTTCTTAACTTTTCCACACAATTACTCATTGATCATTTGTATATTGCCAAGGAACTAGAAAAAAAATATTAGAATTGGCTTTAGTGTATATTTCTTTTCTTTTGCTTCAGTGTTTCCTGATAGCACGAAGAGCAAGAGGTATTAAATCATTTTCGGGTGCATTTACTTTTTCCCCCCCATAAATTAATTTTTTTAATGAAAAAAACCTTTTTGTAGTGTTCCTAATATTTCAATATACTGCAGTATTTTCCAGTAATAGGCATAAAGTTATGTATACTGAGTAGTAAACATTTTGTTGAAAAGTATAAATTGAGGTATGCTATTATGAATTTTTCTGAAAAATTTTACTTATTCTCATTTTTTCTTTTGTCTCTACATTTCTCATGACCTAATTTGTGTAAAGTGATTTGAAAATGTGTTTGTTATTCTATGAAAATATGTAGTGATTATGTGGATTCTACTGAATCTGCTTATATACTGCAAATGGGTAGTACTACTGGCAGAGACTAGTTTAGAGATTGTTGCTATAGTCTAAGAAAGAGGAGGCTATGAACATTAAGGTAATGGGATGAGCCTGGTGACATAGGACTTGGGGTTTGGTTGGACATGAACATGAAGGGTAAGGGGAGGCATTAAAGATTACTCTATATGTGCAAATACATGGGTGGCAGTATGAGAAACTGAGTTCGGGAATTTTGGAGAATGAAGTGGGATTTAAGGAGAGAAGCTAAGAAAATAAGTTTTAAATATATTGGTAATACATCACCTAAGGGACATCCAAGAAGTGATGGATATTATACATAGGAAGCTCTTGAGAGAGACTTTGCTTTTATGTGTGTATTTGCCATGGGCTCTGGGATAGTAATTAAAGCCACAAATCAACGAGGGAGAACCAAGAGAAGAGGAAGATTTAAAGGTAGAAGGATTGATTGGTGTTATCAAATACTAGCTCACCTAAGATCAGGAATTAAGAATTTATCAAAAAGGAGGGAAGATATTGGCCTGACAATGGCTGGTGGTGTGAGTGGGCAGGGCTAGGGCTAAGGAATGAATGGGATTTTAGAAAATAGATATTAAGTGTTGACAGTTATAAAGAAAGTTTGAGACTATGGAGAAATAGTGTTAGCAATGGAAGGTAGATAATGGGGTTAAAGAAGCCCCACCCCTTTTAAAGAGATTGGAGTAAATGTTGAATTAAAGGCGCTTGTAGAGAGTCAGGAGGGGAGGATGAGACCCAGAACTAATTTTTACCCCTTTTAACAGCGTAAGAAAACACCCATTTCTCTATTATCACCAATTGATATATTTTTTTGGATAGATAATACCTTCACATATACAGTATTCAAAAAGTACAGTAGTAGGTCTTCCTGTCTCAAGTAAACACTTAGTGCTCCTTCCTAGTCACTATGTCTGACTTATTTCATAGGTATTCTTCCAGACATTCTGTACTTGCCATTTAAAACCAAATCGAAAACCTTTATGAGATTGATAAGTTAAAGTGGTATGCAAAGGTGAATATGTTTCCATATATTTATTGGCTATTTGTAATTTTTGTGTGAATTGCCTGTTCATATCCTTTGCCCATTTTTTTTTTTAAATCTTCACCCGAGGATATGTGGGTTATTTTTTTTTTTTAAAAATTGATTTAAGAGAGAGGAAGAGAAAGAGAATAAAAAACATTGATTTGAGAGAGAAAGTATTGATCAGTTGCCCTCCTGTACGTTCCCCAACAGGGGCTTGAATCTGAAACCTGGGCATATGCCCTGACCAGGAAGCAAACCCACCACCTTTCATTGTACAGGAGGATGCTCCAACCAACTGAGCCACACTGGTCAGGGCTCCTTTGCCCATTTTTATTTTTTTATTTTATTTTATTTTATTTTTTAAATATATTTTATTGATTTTTTACAGAGAGGAAGGGAGAGAGATAGAGAGTTAGAAACATCGATGAGAGAGAAACATCGATCAGCTGCCTCCTGCACATCCCTCACTGGGGAAGTGCCCGCAACCCAGGTACATGCCCTTGACCGGAATCGAACCTGGGACCCTTCAGTCTGCAGGCCGACGCTCTATCCACTGAGCCAAACCGGTTTCGGCTCCTTTGCCCATTTTTAAATTTAGATTTTCATCTCTAATTTTGGGAGTGCTTTATTTACAAGGATGCAAACTCTTAATATGTTACAGTTTTCCCTCAGTTTTCTAAAGAATTTTAATTTTGCTGGACATTTAAATTTTCACATAGGGAAATCTATAACTTTACTTATAGATTCATTTTTACATTTAATTCTGATCTATTCAAAATTGATTTTGAATTCTGGTCAGAGATTATTTTATCCCACGTGCTTTTTGGGTGAAGTTGTTTTCCTATTCCCATCATACTCTGATCTAATTTCCTAGTACCAGGAAACAATCCTAGGGAACACAGGGACACAGGGACACAGAAAATCAGCACTGCCAGATTTTATGCCCGGGTTGGACAATCAACTGTACTGTGGGTGTTGGTGCCACCTAGTGTTAGAGATAGAAAATGAGGTCTATATGGAATACTCTATAATTGACTATATGGAATATATTTAGTTGGGCAGAGAAATTTAGTGAGTTGTGGGTATTTGTTTCAAACTAAAAACGACTTTATAACAGGATTTTGAATCTTGACACATTGTATTGAATGAAACAAATGCTTGAATCATGTTATTACAAACATTATGAAATGACCTTAAGGATTCCCCCAAACCTGTGTACTTTAATGAAAACTTAAAGGTTTTAAGGTTTCAGAGCCTAAAGACTATTACTTTTTAAATTCCAAATTAAAAATGCTTTGTCTCTTTTGGAATATCTATATATTTATTTTAGATTATAATACAAGAAGTCAACATTTTTTTAGTTCTCATTCAATAATATCACTTTCAGTTTCTCTCTATGGTTTTTAGTATTCATTTTTTAGCAACTTATGCAAAATTGTTTATAGACTCAAAAATGCTCATTTTTTTTTTTTGTGGCATTTTAACTTGTATTGTCATTCATTTTCTAGACTACAGTATTTCTCCACATCTTAAGTCACAATTCAATAGTTAATGTTGAAGTGCTATAATTTAGTCCATAGAGGGCATTATATTACAGCACATTAAACAGTGCTGTTTAATACCTTTCAGTAGTGAGACATATGTTTAGTTTCATAACTCAGGATAATTAAATTTTGAAGTAAGTTCAAAACTACTATGTAACTACAATTGTTTACTTAAAAAGTGAATGCTATTGCTGGAAGTGGAAATAACTATTTTAGCTATCAAGAATTGTACACAAGCAATTGCCAGTTTAGAGTAGTATTTTCGATCCAAATGACTGCCTTGTTCCCACTTTATTTCCTTTATCTCAACATTGTTAAGGAAACAAAGCAAAACAAAACATGAAATTTTCTGGGGTTCAGAAGAAAAGGAAAGAAAGACATGGAAAAGGAAGAATCTTGGGAAAACTGGCATGGCAGACCTTCAGCTTACATATTGCTACCTATGCCAAAATACACTTTCTAATGTCTGAAATCCTGCCACTTAGATATAGATAAAACCTCTCTCTCTCGCTCTCTCTCGCTCTCACTCTCTTTCTCTCTCTCTGGTTGTAAAGAAAAGAGTTTTTTTATTCTTTAGTAGGGATTGATATAATCATGTACATTTCCTACTGATGAGGTAAGTGCACTAAGAAAATGAGACTTTTGATTCAAGATATGAGAAGAAGAGAAACAAAGGATATAGGAAATTTTAGGGCATGGTTAGGAGTTAGGGGTATGCTTGGGGACATTTTCCTTACTAGTTTTTGTCATGCTTGGGAGAGGTACTTGGGATATGGACTTTGAGGAGTTGGAAGTTGCCAAACATGAACTTTGAACAGTTTATTTAAAAAGTTTTGTGTAAGGCTGATTTTGATTTCAGGAAAAGGAGACTATCTCCTCCCCTCCCCCTTCCCAATAATATGCAGTAGAACTTAGAATTTAAACAATTTAGAATTTATTTACTTGCACTATAAGTAAAGCACTTTTCTGTTGTCCTCTCCTTTGGAATCCTCCTTTTTAAGAGGAAATAGGTCCTGTCCCAAATAATCAAAATGCTGTTGGGATGTATCTGCTCTATTCAAAAATTATCATTGAAAATTTTTTTATTAAATATTTGAAGGCAAAATAAACGATGTTGTTTTTTTAAAAAACAAATTTATGTCCTTTATTTGCCTGTAAGTTGGGATTTAATGTGAAATAGGACCTATAAACTCTTTGTATATAAAATTTTCTCAGCTGGAAAATAATAGAACTACATAGCAAAGAACAATAATTTGTGTGTATAGGTACTTCAGATTTGAAAGGTCTTGGTTATTGCCTAGAATCAGATGGCTTAATATATGTGCTTTCTTAGATGTGTTTTAAGGGTCTTGTCCCTTATAGTTTGTCTGTTTTTTTAGCATAATACTAATCATAAATAGCGAGCACTTACATAGGGCCTACTTTTTGTCAGGCACCTGTCATAAGGCATTTTGCATAACACTAATTCATTTGATCCTCACAATAAGCATAGCCCATATAGCTTTATATTTTAACACATTTTTTTGTCTCATCAAAATTTCAAATTTAAGCATGTTCTTGCTTAGTTTACCAAACTTAAAGGAACTCTAGTTTTAAAACTTTTCTAAGAAAGAAATGGGCAGAATGTCAGTTGATTTATATGAACTAGTTTTTGCTGTAAGCTTAATAAATTGCAAAGCCCATATAAACTGAAGAAATAGATATCACTATGCAAGGTTGAATTTCCAGGGCTCCAGTTTTGC